TAAAAATCCCTTTGGATATTGTTTTTTCTTCTATAAGCAGAAAGGTTGTCTTATAATCAGCTTATCACCTTGTAAAATCTTGCTAAGGCTTTTGTTTTTGCAGCTGAAGTCACAGACAACATTACTCTCAAGACAGCTCTTATTCTGAACATTTCTTAGAATATTGTCTTCATTTTTTTTACCTTTGAATGCTGTGCCCCAAATACCTTACCTAGGTCATATAGTAAAGGTCTGGGGAATGAAAATGAAAATGCAAGTGATGTGTCTGTGAGGGCTGTTCTAAAAGCCACAACTCTAGGAAATATTCAAAATATGAAATGATCCTGCTGTGTTGAGGCCAGGTAGTTGGCATTTGCCTTATTGAGTCACTTTGAGACTCATCCCCTTCTTAGAAGTACTTCACTGTGACTATGAAGACTGTTCAGGCTTCTCTGTGGATGCCACAGATTGGTCTGGCATTTTCTACAACAGAGGCCTCTCTGTGCCCTGAGCTGTGCATTGACTGGTCCGGTAATGTGCTTGCAGAAATTATTTAGAGTTGTTCAAAAGTGAAAACCAAAGTACTCTTAAGAGCGAAGATCTGGATTAAAGAATTAGGTTAAAACAATATCTGTGTATTCTATATTCAGCTCTGTTTCAACATATTGTGGTATTGCTCTCAGGTTGATGAAATTTATGTACTCTCTTATTTTTTTCAAATAGAAAAATATAACAGAGGATAAATTGTAGATTAATGCAAATTCCCAAAGGGGGAAAAAATAGAGATTTTTTCCTAAGGTGAATGCTTCTCTTTAAAAAATGTAATAGGAAACTTTTCCTGGATGTAAACTACTTAATCGTTGATCAGATAATATAGTCTGGAACATTTTTGCCACCTGTTGCTTTGTTAAGTTTTCGAACAAGTTTTAGTCTTTAAACTTGCAATTGTTAATCAGAGGGGCTACATTCTTTCAAAAGGAACAGTGCTATGGATAAGAATATTTTTCCTTTTACTATGTTTTTTAAATTTACTACTTGCTGTACTAAATTTACTAAAATGATTCACACACATTTTCTTCTTTTAGTCTCAGCAACCCAGGCAGGGAAGTTATTAGCTATTTTACATAAGGAAAAGCAATATCTATGGCTTGTACAAAATGACACTGTGATGTCTACCAAGCATACTTTTTCCTCTAAGTTCATTGTTTTTTTCCGTACTGACGCCATGGTAGCCATCTGAGCCTCAGAAAGAATTGCGACGCGGAGGACGTGGGAAGTACAGATAACCAAAGAAAAAATTAATCCTTGATATATATATATTTTGACATACCCAGGTAGTGGTGCAGCCAGTTCAGTCATACGTGAAATATTATTATTTTGGGAAGTATTTTGGAAGCAAAAACCTTTGAGCTAATGGTGACCACCTGCATTCAGATTCTCAGGTTCTTGTTAAAATGCAGACTCCCAGGCCCCATCTGAGACTGGCCAAATAAGAATCTCTGTGGATAGGACCTTAGAGTTTGATTCTTAAACTCTTAAGGGCATTTTTATGTACTTTAAAGTCTAAGAAACACTGCTATTCATGGTAAAAAGAGAATGAGCCAGAATCACAGTGAAATTACAAATATCCTTTATCTTTCTTTCTCTTCCTGCTGGGAATTGGTCGAATAACCAAAAAGCTAGAAGCAATAAGAAACAGTGCATACAAACCTGAAAGTGATTGTCCTTTGCTCTAAAATTGAATTTAATCCTGGATTCATGGTCCTTTTTTTTTTTTTTTTTATCAGTGTGTGCTCTTTAATTTTTTTTTCAGTACAGCCCTTGTATCTGGAAAACATGTAACAGGCACTCATTTTTTAAATAGTAATTTTCTTGTAGTATTTTTTAGTGATAAAAGTCTGGGTCAACATACATTGAAAAGGATTACCCGTTACCAAGCATGGTCCTTTTTTAATCTGCCACCATGAGCTATGTTTTTAACATCTTTCAAATGATTTTATTCCCACTTTGATGGCCAGTCTTCTCCTCTTTATTTCCATCTTGGTACCAATAATAAGAGAAGTTAATTCCAGAAATTTGAATAGACTTCCCTTAGGTAATTTCCATATACAATCTTAATGATAGAATTAGTAAGTAGAACCAGGAATGAAATATCATAGATTTAAATGCATAGGAGGACGTTTACTCATATATGAGACCTGTATTAAATACAGTTTAGGTGAAAGTCTGTTGAGCCATGCTAAGAAGGGACGTGATATGGTAATGACATGTGAGGTAAGAGCTTTTTTATGTAAGACCCCCCAATAAATGAAAATTTCCTGGAACTTCTACAGATAGAAACACAGGTAGCTCATTTTAAAGATCATGGGGTTCTTTATAAATCCTAATGAAGAAAAATCTAAGCTGGTTAAGTTCTGGGGAATGATTGTGAATCCTTAAAGGTAAATATGAATTAGGTTTTCAGCCTGTGGTAGTTGTACCATCTTACGTGCATTCACAACCCGCAACCCTAATAGTGAGTCCTGAGCCAATCCTGATAGAGGTTGGAGCCTTCTATGAGTCAGGCCTAACTTCTGATGGGGCTTCATATTCACTTCCCCACTCAGATCTGGTCCCCGCTAATTAATATGTTATTTATTCACTTGGGCTTTGCTTATTTGCAACAGCAAAGAAAAAATAATAAGAAAAGAAATAGTAGAGACTAGCACGTAAGTCTCACTTGTGAGATGACACACACATATAAAAATTTAATGAAAACTCTTTAATAATTATCCAGTTAAAAGTTGAAACAGAATGTGCTTTAGCAATTGAAAAATAGGAACGTTAACTGTGGGCTAGAAGTAATAAGAAGGCTTCACAGAGGATACAGTTGGATCTGGACCTCTAGTAAAATGGGAGAAATTTCAAATAGCAGTGAAAAATAGGCAGAACATTCCAGACTTAGGAAGCCTTTCTAATCTAACTAGAGACAAAATCCAACTATAGAATACTCCTTATTTCATAATACTCTCAACACAATGTTTGGGGTGGGATCTGACCAGGATAGAGTATAGTAAAAGTAATACTATTCTGCTTGTAACATGGTCACAGTTTCTCTTTCAGGAATTTCTTAATATTTTCGAAAGCAATATTACCTTTATGAAGCAAACAAGCAAAGACCAAAATAAATATATCAGTCAGCAGGCACCAAATCCAAGTGGATAAGTTAATGAAGCCCCATCAGAAGCTAGGGCTGACACGCTGATGGCTCTTGCCTCTGTCAGGATTGGCTCAGGACCTACTCTGGGACCCGTCGTAAAGGTTGTGGATTGTGAATGGGCATCAGATGGGACCACTACCCTAGACTGAAGAAACCACATTCACATTATTCTTCAAGGACACATAATCATTCCCTAGAGCTCAACCAGCTTAGACATTTCTTCATTACGATGTATAGAGAATCTCAGTGATCTATAAAAATGAACTCCCCATGTTTCTACTTGCAGAAGTTCCCGGAAAATTTTATTGAGGAGTCTTACATTTAGATGCTTACATTAAAATGCTCTTACCTCACATTTCATTACTGTAATATATTCCTTCTCAGTATGGCTCTTAGTCGTTCCCAGAAGTACAAACTTAATGTCTTAAACAGGAATCATTTAAAAAGATGTTTCACACACTTGAGTGGGTTCGGGTTAGAGCATTAAAGAACTAGACTGTTGCTACTAGGACTTGGTAGTCTCTGATGGGGTTCAAGGGCCATTTCAGGATACCAGAAAAGGCAAAAGAGAATAACAAACGACTTTTGTACTTTGTAGTTTCTCACTGTGCTTCTCTTTGTAAACAGTGTTGCTGTTTCCAATATGATGTTACTTCTCCACCTTTTCCCCTCACCACAGGCAAATGGGTAAAAGCTGGATGTTTTATTTCTAACATCCAGAATGATGAATTATTGATTGCATTGGCAGTCGTAAGCCTGAAAGAAAGGGTTTGAAATACTAACACTGAGTATTTGTACCAATAGCTTAGTTCTGTTTATATATTGTTTCCTCAGTGGCTAAAAAACGGTGAGTACTTGAAGTGAGATAAATAGATGAGGGTGGTGAACCAACTTTTACCTTGGATATTAGTATTTGGATAAGCTTATGTTGCCAAATAAGTGAAAACTGTGAGGTTGACAAAAATTAGTTATATATTCATATTTTAATATATTAATATTAAACAAATTATTATTTCTTTCAGAAGAGTTTATTCAGCATGTTCAGACATGTTTTTCCAATTACTTAATTGCTTTAATCTCATTACAAATAGGTTCTGATGAAGCACACGTTTTAAAAACACTATTAGACATCTCATAAATTAAAAACAGCATCTGTAGGGATGGAGCAATTTAATTGCCAGCATGAGATTTTTTTTGATCTTTAAAAAAAATTATTTTGAAAAGTATGAAGACTATTAACATCATATGAATTACCAGGAATAGATCTTGAGTCCTGGACTGTACCTCCTTTCTAATTCTCATATTGTAAGATAACTTCTTTAGTCAGACAAACTCCTGGAATAAAAATTAATGTTATCAAAAGTAAACTTGTATTTATATGGAATGAGAAAATTAATTGGTCTCACTGATTTAATATAACAGTCATAACTATCACAAATCATAACTCAAAATTTTAGTGAGGTCCAAGCAAGTATAGCTAATTTCAGTGAACCCATCAGTGTTCACTTAGTTAAAACAAACACCAAGCACATAATCCTCCATGGTATCATAGTGAAGTTTTTCTATTATAACCTTACCAATTCCTTATGAACTCAACTTTACATCAAATTCCATTAAATATACATGACTCACTAGTAGTATGAAACTATTCTAATCTCTAGTCTCCATCCCTTATCCCCTCACCCCAACCAAATATGTAGTACAGAAAGGATTCCAATGCTTTAAGCCCAGACATGCTATCCAAGTCCTTTAAACTAATGATAAATTATAATATGATGTTTGGTTTTGAATATATATCTCGGGACATGTTGTTTACTCCTAGGGTGGCCCTTGGGAGCCTGGAGAAAATGGTAACCCATGGTGAGTGAAAGGCAACTGCCTGAATTGCCATTGTAAGTGGTGGGGAAGGATTCAAGAGCCCCCGGAAGTGGGTATTCTGAATCAGATATATTAAGTGAGGCCAAGAGACCCATCAGAAGATTTTGTTCCACAGCAGGGCCCAGGGGCTAAACCATTCACCCAAAGATATTGGGGATGCACTGGTGAGAGGAGCACCGACATCACCAAAAGGGTCAGTGATGAGTCTTCTCTGCAGGCCAGACAGAATTAACTCCACAGGGGAAAATTTACGAATTCAACTATGTCAAAATTAAGAACTGTTGCTAATCAAAAAGCACCATATATATACAGAAAAAAAAAGTCATGGAGATATAATATTTGGGACATATATACCTACAAATGACTTGTTTTTATATTAATTCTGCTGAAGATAGCTGCCATTAAGAAAAAAAAAACAACCCCACAACATCTCAGTAGTATAACACAACTAAATTTCTCATTCACATAAAATCCAGTTTGTGGTCAAGGTAGGGGTAGGGGAAGCTGTGTTCTCTGCAGTCATTTAGGGACACATACTGATGCAGTCTCTGGCATCTTCCACACTTGACTTTCGAGGTCACCCAGGTCATCAACATCCACCAGTAGGTGGGGAGAGGAGAGAGCATGGAGGCCAGATGTGGAAATGGTGTACATCAGTTCAGCCCACGTTCTGGTGGACAAAACTCATTCCAGGTACAACCTACTGAAAGGCAGACTGAGAAATGTGGTCTAATACTGTGCCCAGGAGAGAATGGAAATTATTTTGTGATCAACTGGCCAATCTCTTCCTTAGCCCACCTTTTTGTTATCAAATTTATCTTCTTCCCAGACATAAAACACACTTACCTTCTCTGGAAGGATTATCTTCCAAATTCCCATCTAGTTGGTGCATCCCAGTTGAGGGCCCACATCTCATAATAAATGTGAGGTTCTCTCTCTCTCAAGACCTGGAGGTGCCTCTTTGTGGTCCTGTACTCTATAAATTATGAGGAAAATGACTCTCCACCTCTCATGTCAGTATTTGAAGTTGATCAATATCTGAGATATCATGTTAATATCTGAAGGGGAAGAAGCCTTTCTTGAAGGCCACACAGCTTTCACAACCTGTGTCCGGCCCATGCTAATTTGGAGCACAGTAGTGGGTGTAAAGATTTTTTAAGGCTCCTACAATCATAAGCTTTTTTTAGTTCATGTGTCTGGTTTCACTGTCAATAAAACTGCCTCAAATACTTATTTGGCCTTTGATCTATTTCCACACAGTTCCATGAGCCAATGTGTATTAAAGTTCATCCTTGTGTAGATTTCTCAAATCTCATTTATTTCTTTATTTCCTCTCTGCCCGTACTTTTCTTTTTCACATGCTACTATAAGCCATGATAACTAATAGGTGGAAAGGTTATATCCTCAATTAGAGTTTTGCCACAGACCTGAGTCTTAATGGATTTTAATCACTCATAACATTGCTCAGTCTTACTGATTACTGTCTGGCGCCTAAGAGAAGACAGCTTTTCTAACTCTCAAGGCCTCGCCTTTTATCAATGGGTACTGGCTCAGCTGTAAATGAATATTTTTCATTATTGGAAAACCTTCAAGATTGCCATCTGTGATATCTTTAAAAACACAGAGAATGAAATAAAACAGTCTTAAATACACTTGATTAATAAAGCCTTTTTTCTTTTATGGACTCAAGCTTAGTTGATCTTCTGGCATTGCTAAGAATAGATGAAGTGCCCTTAGATCAATCTGCAGTGGCTTCAATCTGACGTGCACATCATAAAGTCACTAAGAGCCAAGGTGGATTGTATCTTGTGCTTTCCTGGACCGGGTTCTTCCTCCTCTGGTATCCAACAATTTTGAAATCATATCTCTTTCAGATGACAGTCCTATCATAATCTCAACTGAGAATGCAACTAGAAAGCATCTCATCATTCAGACAACTCACTCATTCATTAATGACAACCTACGAAAAGTATAACAAAAGAGTTCTTTGTATAACTGAAATTCCAGAGAGTTTTAAAAATATGGCATATGCATGAGAGTAGTGTAGGTATGTTACCTCTCACAGGGCGTTCATTCTGTAAAGTCATTTACAGAAGCAATTCCTATTTCTGTCATTTCGATTTTGTGACCATGATCTTAGTTCCACTAAATATGTTTTTTGTTTTATGAACAGGTGCTGACTTAAAATAAATTACAGTTCACTTGCTATGGAGAAATTTCAGGAAAATTTAAATAGCCCTTGAGAGAAACCATAATGGGATTTACCAAACTAGAATTGAGATCCCATTGTTTACTTTCCATTCAGTTGAAATAAATTTACATTTTTCTTAATTCGGTCTATCACATATTAACATTTTAAATAGGATACGACCTTTAACTTGAACCTTCATTTCTTTTCATATTCAAATATGACATGTCATTCCCCAAAATAAAATTTCAAAATTAGCTTCACTTCCTGTATACATAACAAATACTTTGAAAAACATTCTGGATTTACTCTTATGCAAGCATTGTGAAAGAGACAGTCACTATTTAATAAATAAAGATTACTAGTGAGAAGGTGGGATCATTAAGAACCATCTTAGATGTCTCCTTACCACATGTAATCTTTTTTTTTTTCATTCATTCACTCCATAATTTGGAGCCTTTATAATAATGTGTAACGTACCTTTTTATTGTTCTGAACATTTAGAAACAAATTTATGGGATATTTAAATTATGGAGTGGAGCAAAATCTTCTTACTCCAATTGAGCAGAACAAATGAGTTTTTTAAATACTCCACTGGCTATAATTAACTTTTAAAAAATTCCCAGTTAACAGGTTTCTTTAGTAATTTAACTGCTCTTTAAATTCATTTTATTTTATGCAAGGACAGTAAAAAACCACTGGCCAAAATTAATGGACAATAACAATCCTGTTAACTTTTGAGAAATTATAGTCACTGCTAAATAAGTTTGCATTGACAGAGCCATTTTGTGAATTGTTTGAGGAGCAGTTAATATGTTTTCTAGCTGATCTATTTGTATTTGCATCTTCTTTCTATACTTTTTATGCCACACATGACTTCTGTTGACTTCCAAATTAGATCCTGATTTCCCAATCTAAATGAGAGAAGTGAGCATTCCAGTTTTAGCTGGAGGTCACTTTGAAGCAGGCAACTCCAGAGACGTCATGAAAAATGAGAACAGAACAGAAGGCACCCTACACTTTCTCAGTGTCTGTTTATCTGCTGTGCATTCTTCTTATTCGCCTCCTCATTATCGTCCTCATGATTAATATACTTACTTATTGGCATATATCTTCTATTCATCCCCTCCTATTTCTTCTCATTTGAAATCTTTGAGATACCCACTGGAGTATTTTTTAGATGCGGCAAATGAACCTTAAAGAAGGAAGGTAACTTGTCCAAGATCCTAAATTTAGCAAGAGGCAGAGCAGGCTTTCTATCCAATGGTAACTCTTTGTTTCCTAACTTATATTAGGAAAATAAAGAGATTGTTCTAAGGGACAACTAAAAAATAAACAAAAAGCACAGTTAAAACATTAAAAACGAAAACCATCAATCTCAATCTTACCTCAAATCAAAACTTCAGTTGGGGGAAAGTGCTGGACTTCAGAGAGAGGTAAGTTCTTTTTCCCTTTGACTCTGTGGGGCCTTTTGTTTGTAACCCAGCTTCACAGTTTAAAAAAAACCATCTACAGTAAGATGAATGTAGTGGGTTTTGCATAATTTTAGGACAAGCAGACTCACTTCCAGTAGGACAGGTGCCTACCAGGTGCATATCCAGTAGATATTTTAGACATTGAACTGACAGCACTGAAATGAAATAGGAAGAAATAATTCTAGTTTGTGTACTTACTACGTGGCATTTGTCACTAAACCTGCTTGGGCCCCTTTTTTCCCCCCTCACTTGTAAAATTAGATCCAATGATTTTTACCGAACTCAGGTTCCAGCTGTGCGCTGCTCAAAAAAATCAGAGAGAGAGAGAGAGAGAGAGACAAATATTGGTAGAAAAGAAAGTTGCTTTTAATCAGAATGCTGGCAATCTGGGGAGATGGTACACTCAGTGTCCCCCAAAAGCCACCTCTGAAGATTCTGCTCAGCCATGAAAGTTTTTTAAAGGGTCAAAATGGAAGTAATCTCAGTTAATCATTGAGATGGGAGGTTAGAGTCATTGCCATCCCCCACTGTGTGCAGGCTTGTGTGCAGCCTTGTCAACTTCTTGTGATTTTTCTTTAGATGCTCTTTTGTTCACACAGTTTGTTCGCAAGACTACTGAAAGGGAAGCTAGAGAAGAGATCTGGTCATCTGTTAATTACTTATTCTTCATTTCTACTGCTTTGAAGTTCTTTGGAAAGAACCAGCAGTTAGGCAAGGTGTTGTGTTATCAAAAGATCTGAAAGGTGTGCTAGGCCCAGAGATGAGTAGAGTATGGGGGTGCCTGGTTTAAGGTTAGTGGACTTAACGAACACGCTCTCAGAAAGGAACTCATTTGTATGTAGGGGACTTACTGTACATAAGTTGGTGTCACTTGGAATAATGCATTGTTTGAAGACAGAATAACAGTGGTGCTCAGCTTACTTATTTAGAGAAGCAAGACATGGAGCTCAAGAGTGCTCATCTCACTAGGAGGAGTAGGAAATATTTTTAAAAATCCTATGAAAGTAATGGTTATTGGTGTGATAGCCTTCATATAATTTACCCTTGTATGTACATCTGGGATTAGAATTCACATCAGCCATGAGAATGTAGGTATTTTTGGTCAACAGGATAGAATGTGAGTGTACTCATACTAACCAAGTTAGGTGATATCTAGCAATCCACAGATTAGACCATATAGACTGTATCCATCTTATCCAGAAAAATCAAGACTTTCACTTAGTGTTCCCTGGAAACCCCAAGGTCAAGTCCAAGACCCAGTGTACTACAGAAGTTTAAAAAGATAGCTTCAGAGGTGACTTATACGTATATCTGAATAA